AACAATATCGGCCCTCGGTCTTTTTTGTATGGACCTCACTGCACTGTCCCGAATGGTCCCGAATGATACCGCACTTGTGTCCCTTTGAACTTCAGTCATATAATAAATCTCTTATTAACCAAGCTTGCTCGAGACTGTACTGGAAGAAGATCGGCCCTTGGTCTTTTTTGTACAGACCTCACTGCGCTCGGTCCGTACTGTCAAGACCTTGTGCTGATATTCTCCCAGTACGGCCCTCGCGCTTGGTTAATAAGATATATGTACTGATTTACTACCTGTTTGTATGATGATAGAATTGTATTGTTGTTGTTATGCTATAGTTTGCTGTACCTGCAATGTCTAGGCAAGTACTTTGCATATTGTCATATAAATTAACAGAACTGGCATTTGAGCTAGTGGTCATGTATAGGGATTTGTTTGAATATTGGAATTCAAAATAATCTTTACCATAAATGATTGTAATTGTTAATTATTCTTCAGAGTTACTGATCACTGGGATGAAGCTGCCACAAACCTATTTAAAACCCTCATACAAGGTGAATAACTGAATTTTTTGTGAGTTTACTCAGTTGCAAAGAAAAGTTTACAAAGAAGTAGCCAATAGACATGAGCACAAGGAATTGCAAAATGCAAACCAGCCCATGTAATTGACGTAATTAAACCTGTCGCAAATTTCAAAGATTGCAAGTCCAATTCCTTGTGCACATACATGTGCAAGGTTTATAGTGCAACTCCATTCTACTCTTCCTTTTCCTTGTATATTTTTCAATTAAATTTTCCTTAAAAGTGATATGACTTAATTTTAGGATGTAAGCTTCAAGTTACCATCCATAAACTAGATGAGAAAGGAAAATATCATGTGCTACTGCTAGCTGACTCAGGGTATGCTCAGGTAAACACAAAACCATTTTAATGAAGTGTAATTACAATTATGATTAAAATGATATCTGTTTCCATTCACTCTTCTGGCTTTACAGGATTATGTTAGACTGGCCATTTGGCCTTAAACTGCAAGTTGAACTTTATATTTCAAGAAAATTTTCCCAAGCCAAAAAGTAGAATTTATCTTGAGCTGAAAGAGAAATGAAATTTGATGGTTTATACAGTAATTACGCAACATTGTAAAATAACTTTTTCTGGTACAGGTATTGGTTGGAAATTATCACTAACACAAAGCTTATCTTCTGTATATAACATTGTTGTCAAAAAGCAAAAAGCAAAATTTATTAGGGAGCATATCAAACCACCCTCCAACTACTGTGTATGCCTGCACACCAAACAAATTGCACTCTCAGAAATTTCCACTGAAAAATTATTTCAAACTTTTTGTGAGTATTAGATGTTGTTTAGAGATTTCAAGCAATTCCAAAAATAAAAAGAAAAAAAAAACCATGACTTGTGCTAAAGAACTTATGCCAATTAGTTAGAATTTAGCTTTTTCCTGTTTGCTTTTTCTCTTACAACGTTACTTCAGTTGTGTGTAAAAAGATATGTAATATGAAGAAACTGATACCTGTACTTTTAATTTTTTTTTTTCCTTGCAGGTTTGTGTCAATGATGAATTGGTTTTGAATGGCTTTGCAACAAACTTCTCTGAGGATTTCGAAAATCCAGTAATAAACACAACCAAAGCTGCAAAACTGAAAGCAATGGGAGAAAAATTCCAAAAGGAAGGTGAGGAAATGTTGAAAAGTATGAAGGAGTATGTCAAACGTGGCAAGTTTAGCGGAAGCGAAGAATCTTACAGCACTGATGAAGAGTCTATGAGCCACCAAAGCAATAATAGGTATTTGGGGTTGAGGGAATCCCCTTTGGATGTTTTAAGACAACAGGTCTTAGGACATGGATCATATCAGGAAAACAATGGCCCACTTCAAAAGCCTGCAGCTAGACTTCCTGAAGGTGCATGCGAGGGCCTTTTATCACGGAGACTCTCATTAGAAAAGGAATTCAGCCGTGAAAAGTCAGAAAAAGAACTAGCGTATACATCTAGGAAACCAGTAGCATCATCAAGTGATGAGAATTCAGGAAGAGTGCGATTTCTTTCGTCTAGACTGCCAGCAACGGGTAGTGGCATGAGGGGAGGTTTTCATCCAAGTTTATCAAAACCTCCAGAAGCCACACATCTGAAGCCCATTCTTAAAAAGAAGAGCGCCCACAGTGGTTCTTCTAGTGAGACAGATGACTTTCGTCAGAGAAGAGTTGCAGACAGAGACGATTCTGGTGTTTCCTGCAGCGAAGTACCTGGATTGTCCTCTAATGGTTCCAGTGGCGAAATCTCTCCAAAAGAAATAGAGGAAAAACAACAGCCACCTTCAAATGGTTCAACAAGCGTAGATACTTTGTTTAGCCAACACAACGTTAGATTGCCTTTAGAAAATTTTACTTCATCTAGGAGAATAGTTCAGGAAAATGGGCCAAAGTCTAAAGCTAATGCTGTGGCAAACAGAGACGAAGAAGATCGTCAAAGGTTATTATCTTCAATAAAGACTCTAATAGAAACCCGTGATAGAGACTGCAGTTCAACTTTAGATCCCACGGAGGATATAGTGCAAACATGTGAGCCTCTAGTGGCTAAAAGCACTCTAGAAGCTGTGCGTGGCTCTGAACATTTTCCATTACAATCCTCAACAAGCTTACACATGGTTGAAGGGAGAAATTTAAGTGAAAAATCTACACAATTGTCTCAACTATTGCAGACTTCTTCTGCTTCTTCTGGAAGGTCTCCTCTTCCTTCAGAAATACTATGGTCCACAGAGAAGTCAGCTTCACCTGAACAACGCACCACAAGTGGAAAAAAGTTATCATATTCTGGTGGTGTTGTTGTTTGCGCAGAAGGTGCACCCGCTCCAAAGCCAGTTTTTACACCAGAGTTTTGTCCATTTGCTCATTACTTGCTTCGGCTCAGTATTTCGAACCCTAGCTTGCTTCAGGCACATGCCTGGCCAACACTCCTTAGAGGACGCGACCTTGTAGGCATTTGCCAAGCAAATGATGCACAAATACAAGCTTATCTACTGCCGATTATCTACCAGTTAGTGGAGGAAAGGGAAGTTTACGCTGATCTACCGAAGCTGTCCAGTGGGGTAAGTTTGGTGGATGGAATTTGGGGTAGTGGGGAACCCGGATTCAAAGTGACAAGGGCGATACAATGGAATTCTATTGTGCAGCCGCCATTTTGAGTCCTCGAAGATGCAAAACTTAAGGTTTGTACATCTAAACACAATTTATTTTGGGAAGATAGACACGCAAGAACAAAGCCCCTTATCCTTGGGAATTCTTCAAGCCTGCCACACCCTAAAAGTTTAAAGGAATCCTTGAAGTTACAGCATATAGAAGTGAAACTCATGAAAAACATCGTCAAATTTAAAATTCCCAGCAAATTTAGATGAATAGACTTATTTCTTGCCAACTGCATGAATCAAGCATTTTGTTAAAACAGGACTCAATCTACTGCGTATTTAGCTGTTGAAAGTACAAGGGCTCCATTTGTCTTTGAAATTTCGCGTCCCTACTGAGTGCAACTGTCATGTCATATCGAACTCAAAGCTGATCTTTACTCTGTTTACTGTTCTAAAGTTTGATTTGTATTTTCTTTCCAGCCGCAGTTTCTCATCCTTGCTCCAACTTGGGGAGCTGTTGTTGATATCCACAGGCAATGCAGGCTCATTCTAGCTAAAAACAAGAACATTCGTGTGCAGCTGATATTTGCTGCCGGTGCCGAAGATAATCAGATTATTCCATTATTGAATGGCTGTGAGATCTTAATTGCTACACCACCTTGCTTTCTTCGAATGCTCAGGAAATACTACATTTCCCTAGATCGACTTTGCCATTTGGTATTTCATGATGCTGACATAATGGTAGAGGAGTTCACATCTGAGATCAAATGCATCATGAGACACTACGCCAAGCTATTGCAATCCCAGCCTTGTCTCTCAGCACCTCGCCAGGGAGTTGTCATGGCGTCGTCTTGGAGTGCGGGTGTAGCGTCTTTGGTGAAGGCGTACTTGGGGAATCCTGTGGTGATAATTCCTGACATGATTGAAGCAGCTATCTACAGGGGTGTGCAACAAATTGTAACATTTTGCTCCGAGAGCCAGAGGGATGTAGAACTTCTTGGTAAGGATATTTAAAATTTACAGGGTTCTGGACGGGATTTGAAGTACGTACAATCTGTGAGGAACCGGCATTAATTTGTACGCACCTAAATTTGATTTAAATTTTATGAAAAAATCTTTCACTTATATGTGTGCGCAGCTGTGGAATGGATTACTTACAAGAGTAAAACTGGCCAATAATATCAACCTTTTCAAGAAGCTATTGAGAACATTGAAACTTTAGCTGCTTCTCCATTTTATACTTGTATTTAAGTGACTCTCAATTTCACTGTACAAACTTAAATTTTAATATTAATTGTTAGTTATTTCAATTTCTAATCAATTAGGTTTTGACAGTATGTATTAGGTTTTTAAGATTCTTAATCTTAGAGGCACGTACTTATTTTGAACGAGCTCTGTGAGCTCCTTGACGCTACGTGGGTAAATAAAGTATTGATTGATTGATTGTACAGGCAATGCCCAACCGGAAGCGGGTAACAAATGAAGAAGATATAAATAGCAAGTGAAGTCAAATAGTATAGTTTGCAAGCAGCTGTTATTTCGAAAGTGGGAATGATGAAACTTTTTGTTTCCATCTACATGTATTTTTTTAACTTTGGATATATGAAATGAAATTTTTTTCTTTTCCTTTCGGTTTTCGGTCTGAGACTTTTAATTTTTCCTTGACCTTTTCTTTCCCATGTTAGGTTACCTGGAATCGTTTATTAGCACAAAAGACATCTGTGTTTTCACATCTACGGCAGCGGAAGCAGAGGATGTAGGACAAATCCTGAATGCAAACTGCTACTTTGCTCTCGTGGCACACAATTTTCTACCACCTCATGAACTTGACAGTATTCAGAGACAATGGAACACCCCTCATACCACTGATACTATGCCTGTTCTAGGTATGCCATAATGTGGATAGGCCGTCCACTCCCCTAAGAATCTTAAGTTTCCTATTGCTTTCCCTTTTGTGAAATTTAGTTCGTCGATTCGGCAAAAAAAAAAACCAAAAAACAAACAAAGAAAAAGAAACAAAATTGAAAGAATTGACTAAGAAAGCCTAACTTAAGGGCTTCACAGACTTGAAATTATGCATCATCTTGTTTCTACAGTATATTCTATCGGAATTACTAGATGTATTCTTGAATTAAACATATAGTTTTAATCTACATTTCATTTTCATCTTTGGGAAAAAGATTATCTATACATTCTACAGTTTAATAAATATTTCTGTTGATAAAATTCAGTTATAGCTGAAGACGTTATTGGTCAGTTAAACATCACAAATGCCTCATGTGTTATACACTTCAACTTTCCTGGTTCAAAGATGCGATTCAGCAAAAGACTCGCCACTCTAGCAGGGACGTTCACATCATCTGACGTAAGACAACCTTCACTTCTTTTCTGAAAATCATTGAGGTAGTCCTAAATTTTTAAAATCCTTTCTACACGTTTATGATCCTAAAATAGTTTTTGTTGATCTAATCTTTCAGCTGAATAATTATTACTTTATTGACCAACCTTGTTTGGTTCAGATGGTTTAACATTAACCGCCTTGTTTCTTCAAAGTCCAGAACAACAAACAAACTTTCTGCGTTGGGAATTAGCAGTGAACTTTGAATGCAACAACCAACCAATAACATCCCATTTGCCCACATGGACAATTATATCTTTATTATCTTACTTTGTGAATTTTATTTTCCGAAGGAGCATGGCTGCGTTTCTGTTATATTTGTGACTGATGGCCGAAATATGTATCACACGCCTTCCATACGTCAGCTTGTGCAGAGGTCTGGTCAAGAAGTTCCACAACTACTGGATGCAATGGCTGACCTTGCTGAACAGGCAAGTCTTTGCAATAAGTTTGGAGTATATTTTAATGTTAACGGACGAAACTGGGAGACTGCTACTGATTTTCCTTCAAACAAAGCAACAACATAGTGTGAAATCCTCTTAAATGTTTTAATGTACTCTTTCTACAGGAGAAAGAGAAGGTTAAGGACCTATGTTACTCTCTGAAAGCTTTTGGAACTTGCAGGTAATTCAAAACGCCTTATCGTAGAGTAAACCTGTAGTCTTTGGAAAACTGGCTAATCGGTGTGTTGTGTTTGTTAAGCCTGAAATACTCGGACTTACGCATGCGCTTTAGAACCTCGATGACAACTTGTGAGTTAACACCGACGAACAACCCTGGATTTTGAAACCCAGCCCTGTGTAATGGTAATATTTTTCCTTATATTTAGATACAAACGGGGAATAAGGAACTGTTTGAAGAGACACTCTGTGTTGGCAGAGTTGGATAAACCAGCAAAAGGAATTCCTACTTCTGGCATAGTTAAAGTAAGCTTTAGACGGGAATTTTGGAATTCTGTTTATTACATGTGTGTAACTGACCCCGATTGCAGGTAAGATTGAGCTTAACTTTTATTCTGTCAGGTTCCTCCAGCGGGTAAAGTGAGCCATTCTTGCTGGTCAGGATTATTTGCTTTGTTTAGCAAAAACAAGCAATCACTTCCTTTAGGGCTCCATTTGAACTAACCCTGCTAAATTGGATGCTCCTGGATAAATATAAGTATAAATTACATACTGAACCCGTGTATGGCGTGGCTCGTCAGCGATTTCACTCTGGCTCAGTCAAGGAAGCATCCTGAAACACAAATGGAACTGGCAGGATTTTGGAGAAACTCAGTTTTTTTTCCCAAACCCTTGTTAGTTAATTTTTTCATTCAATGATCAACAGCGCTTAACAACTTAGAGTACTACAGTAAATTCAAACACTATTGCATTATAGTTACAAACACTATTGCATCTATCATTAAAAAGAACACTATGATGACCTCACCAGGTTCTGATCATGAGTGTAATGGATGCAACATGTTACTGGGTGCGAATCCTTGGACACAAAGCCACAGATGCAAACCAGCGGAACAGTCAAACTGCGGACAGTACAGAGTTCCTTGAATTAACAATGGCAGTCAGTCGATGGTATGCAGATCCAAATCATCGGGTTAAGCAAGAGTTGGTTTCTGTTGGTGACTTGTGTGCTGTGAAGCTAAACAACAGCAGTTCTTACAATAGGTAAGCGCCTAGAAATATGGTAGTCAAAGTGGATTGGAGCAGATCAGCCTTGACATGTACTTACATAAGATGCTCTATTCTTATACTTTGACGTGGTATTGTTGTATCCCTAGGGTGAAAGTGTGCTTTGTTACTAAGGAAGATCACAGTAAAAAGCCAGTGGAAGTGCGGGTAAGAGTGAATTGGTTTATTTTAGTGTATTATTTGGTGCATGTTTTTCAGGGAAGCGTAGATAAGAACGTGGCGAGCATGAAGAGGGAGTATTTGCGCGAGAGGAAACAGCAGAAGCCAAACGTTTCCTTTTAGATAAAGATTTGTTTTCTTCTATTCACGAGCGCGGGACAAAGAACAATTCTGAGTCTCCACGAAGAATCAAACCTCAGACCTTTGGATCCCGCGCTTAGGCTGCCTTCATTGTGTACCTCTGAGCCACAGAGACTCTGCGGTCTGCTAGGCCACCACTCAGTTCATATTTTCACCAGATGTTTATATGCTTATTTTTAGGTTCAATATGTCGACAGAGGAAATTTTGAATGCGTTCATGTGGACAGACTTCTTCAGTTGCCTCCCCAGTTTCGCTCCTGTCCCTTTCAGGTATGTTTCATCCACCAATTATAAAACCTATTTTCCTGGGCTCTCATACGAGAAAATACCGCGACGCAGGTTACGTGAGTACGAGAACAGTCTTTAAATCTGCAGCAAGGCTAGTGATTCGCATTAAACACGCTTTTCGTTAGTTTCTTTTGCGCTACCAATGTAACTTGTTAAGTCCTTTTGAAGAGCGTCTTCACCACATGGAAAACATCGCTCAATGTAGCTCAACACATTGAATGTCTAAGTAAATGAATTGTAATTTGACCAGCTACACGTCACCTTATGAACCTTCATACTCCGCCTCCCGGTTAGCTCAATGGATAGAGCGCTGGACTCTTGTGCGGGAGGTGGAGGGTTCGAACCCCGGCCGGCCGGACCAACACTCAAGGTCTATAAATAATTGAGAAAACTTTGCTACCTTTCTATAACATCAAGAAATGGTTAGATATTCTAGTCTTCTTGGATAGGGACGAATAAATGGAGGTCCCGTCTCCTGTAGGGTTAGGGGTAGGAGACGTTAATTTCCCACGCACGAGATTACTGTGTGATGGATGTCCTCCCCTGGGGTGGGATGGGTGGGTACAAAGGGGTTCGGTGTCAATTGGGACGAACGTTCTGTTCCTTTCTCCTGCCATTCCCGTGGCGAATGAATTAAATTCTTTAAAAAATACTCCTGTAATTGTTTAACTTTCAACAGCTGTGATTGGCGTCTTTCGAACCTCACTGTTCTGGTGACGCGGTCGCTCAGCGCTTTGTTGTCGCTCACTTGTCGCTGTGTTACTTTATTTTACTTGTCCATTCTTTCAGAACTTCCTTCTATTGGTCCTCTCGATTCAAAATTTTTTCGACAGTGCACATTTGGAAAGTTGCGATCAACATTATGATCGGAATAGAATACATAATCAAGCAAATATCAATACTATTTCATTTATTTCACCATGGTGAGTACCAACGAACAGTAGCTTAATTTTAAGTTCGTTCTGCGTTGTTTATCAGGCAGTTGAAGTGTTCGTGTGCAGACTACAACCTTTGGATAAAGATACTGACTGGACTGACGAGGTAAAGTTAAAGAAATCGGAAATTTTCGTTCGTATGACTTTGAATCGCTTGATTTGTTAGCAAACGGTTATCTGGAATACCTCGTAATAAAGAACTCGGTGATCAAGTTCTTTTGATTCAAGTATGTCTAAACGATTGGTTACTCTGTGGTTATATTATGACAGACGGCAGCCTATGTCACACGCCTTATTGAAGGCAAGGAAATGGAAGGAAAAGTTGTCTTGAGGTAAAGTTTTTCTTCGACCGCGAAGATGCATTCATTGAAATTACAAGAAAACACGAATCGAAAATATCTTATAGTTTGTGGAAACCCCCCCCCCCCCAAAAAAAAAAAAAAAAAAAAAAAAAAAATCAAACTCTTCTGATGTCACGCTTATTTCACCTTTAACTGTAGCATTGATTATTGCCAGCTTGTGGCAACACTTACGGTCAACTAATCAGATTGAGCGATTTTATCACGTGAATGGAGCCAAATCGCCGCGATCAGTGCAAAAATTGGCCAAGCGTGCCTGTATCGATGAAGAAGTGAATTGCTGGCATAGTAAGAGAGACTTGTTGTTTCCGCTTTGGTTCCGTTGTAGCCTCGGCAACACGATGTGGCTGGATCCTTTGGTCGAAAGGAAATATTTGCCCAACATCAATGTAACCACCAATGCGTTGAATGTTAGGATGGAATTGTTGAGGGAAAAACGTGCAGCTGAAAACAAACAGGTGGGAGTTTTCTCCGCTTTTATGCTCGTCTGAACAGTTGTGAGAAATGTTATAAGTGTGCTTCGAGGTTCCTTCCACACTAGGCATCGCCAGATAGATATGAAAACGCAACCTTCTTTTTCTTTGATAAGGTTGACCGTCCGCTTTAGTCTGGGTAAGTTGTAAATGAACCGCCTCCCGGTTAGCTCAATGGATAGAGCGCTGGACTGTTGTGCGGGAGGTCTAGGGTTCGAGCCCCGGCCGGATCTACACTCCAGGTCTTAAAATAATTGAGAAGAATTTGCTACCTTTCTGTAACATCAAGAAATGGTTAGATATTCCAGGCTTCTCGGATAGGGACGAATAAATGGAGGTCCCGTCTCCTGCAGGGTTGGGGTAGGAGTCGTTAATTTCCCACACACGAGATTACTGTGTGGTGGATGTCCTCCCCTGGGGTGGGATGGGTAGGGAAGGTGAGATCGATAGACTGAAGCGGCTGCCAGAGGCGCCCGATATGCTGACGTCTGTTCTCAACCTTACACTGCACCCATAATTCAGCCTCTGGGCTGCAAGTGGTCAGATATAAACTATCTTACTACTATTACTATTACTACTAAATGAAGCTATTCCAAAATGCTGCACAATCTGGACCTACCATCCTCCGGCAGTCCAAACCAAAAAGGAACTTTCTGGAAACTTGAACTCGATTGCTCCTTGCATTTTTAGGTGGGCAAGTTTGGCCCTTCTTTCGCGCATGCCCGAATGCATTCAAGCGATTCTGTTGTCTATAACAGTTGCGCAGTCAACTTTATTCGACATGATGTGAACCAAAGACATTTTGTCCATCTCCCATCATAGACAGAAACCTTACGTAGTTCTTTATCAGTGAAAAACGCCGTTTTTAAATTTATCCGTGATTGGGGCCAAAGTTTAAGTTGTTTCTTTGATGACACTTTTTAAAGCACGTGCGCTTGCTGAGAAACCTTTGTGAGGGTGTCATTGATTTACAGCCCCTGGAAGGAGGACAAACTGGCCTTTCGGATGTCTGGTAAGGATTAATCATTCTTTATTACCAGGGGTTGAAACATTTGAAAACTCAGAACCATCAGTTCTATTTCGATAAAGGTATACCTTAGCCTCATTTCGCATTAGGTTGGGGTTTTTCCAGCGTTGCGTCCAATTAAATTAATTGATAATTGAAATTGACCATTGAATATGAAACATAGCGTCAGTTTGCAAACCGGCTTGCTTGAGGAGGTCGAAAAATCCTTATTAAATCCTTATCCACATTTTCTCATGAGTTCCCATTTGCTACAAACGTTTTTACCGCTTGAGATATTTTTGCATTTGTGGTCTATTGCAGTGAGCAGCCTACTGCTCTAGAAACAATTGTGCTGCCCGAGGAAGGATTCCACTCTGTGTATGTGTCTGCTGTGGAAAATCCAGGACTCTTTTTCGTACAGCTGAAGTCTTCAGAAGAAAGGTTGGAAATGTGTATACCCACATCTCTATCAATTCTCCAGCAGTTAGTATGTTTGTTTGTTTGGTTTTTTTTTTTTTTTTTTGCGGACCACACAAGGTAAATTTTTCCGGCATTCTAACTCGTAAGATTTGATTATTTGTTTTCTATTTGGTTGTTTTGCTGTCGTCGTTGTTCAGTGTTATTTTTTTAATTGCCTGTGCAGCATGACGCTTACGACTAACCGTAAATTTTGAACTTCTTTCCGTTGCTTTCAGCTATTTTAATGTAAAGTATTTCCAAGAGATAGTTTGCATAGACTCACGGTTTACTTCGTGTGACGACACAACGTGAGGACGAGTTGACCTTGAACTACTCCGTGGCATTAAGCCTCAATCGTAACGCATTATCTGTCGATATCTTTTGTAGCTTAGAGGACCTGAAGCAAAAGATTAACTCTGGAGTTAGCAAAGTTGAATCGGAGGAGAACGAGATTTCAATTGGTTCGCTCTGTGTTGCAAAGTTTTCTGAGGATAACCTGTAAGTTACTTTACTATGCCCTAAACAATGTGCATCTCTTTCATAAGTAGTATCTGGTATTAAAATCTTATTTTATTTTCAAGCAGGTTCAGAATATAATTTTTCTGATCCTGATGATTAACTTGAATTTTTAAGCTATTTATATATTATTTTCCCAAAGACAAATTCTAAATTTTGTGTCTTCTTTTTTGTAATAGTTTTTATTTACTTTGGACGAACAAGCATTTCAAACTTTCTTCCTTTCCAACCCATTCCTCTCGCGGGTTTACGTGCCTTTCTCTTGGCCACTAATACTACTAAGTAAGATCTTTTCCAGTCCTTCATCGTGTAACTACGAAACTACCAGCTACGCATCTTGCTTCAGGGATGATAAAACTTGTTTGAATGGCTAGGCAACTGCAAGCTGCTGTGTAATAAACTGTTCCCTTGGAGAATATAGCATAACCACAAGTTCAGCAACATCATTATCCCTACATTCCTATGAATTCTTTTCATTCCACCAGTTGGTACCGAGCGCGTGTCCTGGGCAGTAGGCCAGATAAAGAGTATGATGTATTTTATGTGGACTTTGGTGACAGAGAGTGGGTAACAGCGGACAGGATTGTTCCAGCTTGGAATGGTATCCTTCAGTTACCCCTCCAAGCCGTCGAGTGCGCGCTTGTAAATGTCGACCCTCTTGGTAAGTGATTTAGTTGAACCAATCTAAGGAGCGCTAAATGTGTCAGGCACGTGGCAAGCAGCTATGAAAATATGCTACAGCAACAGAAAGTGATAACGTATGAAATGAGTTTTAACTCTACAAGGTTGGCTTGATGTGCCAACATGGCGGCCATGCTATTGTTTTGGTACGATGTGAGACTCTGTCAGATTTCATCGCGTGAAAACGCTCGTCGCACTCAACTAAGATGTGACGGTCATCGGTTTCTAGAAAGTCCAAGGGATCTATTAATGGGAAACTTAGATGTACAGAAACTTTGTAGCCATCAGAGGCGAAGGACAGCCTGGTTAGCCTTTCGATGTTCTTTGTTTTAACTAATCGGAGTTCTTTCTACAGAGAAAGAGTGGAGCGAAGAGAGTAGTGACGCATTCTGGGAAATGGTGACTGATCAGTTATTGTTCGCTAAGGTACTCATCTTATCTGAGCATGTGTCGTCACTGCTGTTCTCAGTCGTTGTTCCATCAGATTGGTAAAAGTGGTTAAGTGCAGTACAGTTTTTTTTTAAGTTTAAGTGTTCATAGCACTGTAGTGAAAATTCGCTAATTAGGTCAGCTCACCTGGGAAGCATTAGTCACTTAATGGATTTGAGATAGGGAAAGGATCGAAGCTACATGTTTTTTTTATTCTAATCATTTGGAGACTAGTTTCGCACCAGCAATTTAAACTACTTGTTAGATTAGCTCCAGCCTTGATTGAGTAACAGGCTGATCTATTTTAATCGAATCTCGCACATGACCTGACTCAGTCTCTTGATTGTTCTTAAAGGGGCTATTTTACTCCTGATTGACATATGCCTCCACAAATGTTTGGGTGGTTTGCCAAGTCCCTTACTAGTGAGGCAATACATAGCTATCAGTCTTGATTTTAAAAACTCATCATCAACTGTTTCCACTTCAGGTGAAATCTAAGAGTGCATCTCTGGTGGCTGGAAGCCACAGATTTGCCATTGAACTCTATAACACTAACACAGAACATGACGTCATCATTAGCCACGAGATGGTTGCAACAAAGCATGCGCAGACTTCAGCTGAAGGAATTAAGGTTTGTCTTAAATCGTGACATTTGAAGTGAATTTTTGCTCCGTGCATAAGAGGCTTCACCTTCAAGGAAACCCCGAAATATTGGTGCTGATTGAAAACCAATAAGGTACTGAGAATGAATTGTAAATGCGAGCTTGCAAAGTTTAGGCTTCGTCGTTCGCGATGCAATCAACGTACCGGCTCAATTCTATAGTACTCATTTATATCTTACTTTATTACTGTATTTATTGTTTGTACGTTACTTGTTTCTATCTGGAGAGACAGTACAACATGCACTAAGTCATTTTCCTTCTTTTTGTTCGCTTGTTTTTTTTTTTTTCTCAAACAGATTTTATTCCCGCAATCTGCTACATCTATTGAGCAACACGATTACAAAGTAAGTGCAGAAAGTGTTTATAAACGTTATCTGATGAGATGAAGTTTTTTCTTTTCTTTTTGGAACTCTCATTATTGCTTGTTGGTTATATAAGGTTACGCGCTGTACTTATTTTTCGACCCGTTGATTTTAAATCACAGTTTTCACACCAAAGGATACCAGATATGTGCTTACAAGCCCATCAATGTTCGGTGAGTATAAGAGACGATTGATTTTGTTTTATGAGTTTTGACCCTTCCAATAGTCTTGGTATTTACTGCTGATTTTCGTTACTGATTAATTCAAGAACTTTCAAGTAATTCACTATACACCGAATGCAAATATGGCGTCCAATTTGAATTGCCATTGTTCTGGACTGACTAGCCTCGTCTTCACCTGGAAATACAGAAGGATTATTACATGTGTGAGAGGCTAGTCAGTCCTGAACAATGGCAACTCAAATTGGACGCCATATTTGCATTCGGTGTATGTTGTGTCTTCATGTTTTTTATTGCACTGTTGTCTTGAATGAAGCAGACGCTTTGTTATTGTCATTATTTATGCGCTTGGGCACATTTTTGTGTTGTTGTATTTATGAGATACAAAGCGCTTCTAATTATATATATACCTATGTTTTTCATAACGTTTTCCAAAGACCATGCGTCGCCAGTAGCTTTTTCATTCCTTACAATATCGGAAAGTTCTTATAAAATCTAAAAACTTTATCTGTGGAAAGATGTCGACAACATGGCAGAAACTGAATAAAAAAACTTTTCAGATACAGTTGATTTCAGCCGTGAGTCCATGTCTATCAATGGTTGACAATTTTCTCTCTTCTCAAAACCTTGCCGTGCTCTAATGGTGTTATATTTGTGATGAGTCGTTTCTCATTTAATAATAATAATAATAATAATAATAATAATAATAATAATAATAATAATAATAATACAGTTCTTAAAAACGCATTATACATAAGTCTCAATGCTTTTACATAAGATTTAAAGTAATTGCAAAATAAGATAAAAATTAAACTATGAATTAAAAGCGATTTTAAAAAGGTGAGTCTTGAGCCTGGTTTTAAAGGAATCTTAGGTTTCGGAATATCTTATAAAATCAGGAAGTTTGTTCCAAAACATGGGGAATGCACACGCAGAGGATCTGTCGCCATAGCTTCTGGACCTTGAAGAACGGAGGTAACGGACAGGTGTATAGCGAGTTAACAGATTTGCCAAGTAATCAGGAGCCAGACCATGAAGTGCTTTATAGGTGTAGAGACGCAGCTTGAAAATAACACGATGTTCCATAGGGAGCCAGTGCAGATTGATGAGGACTGGAGTAATATGTTCAGATTTTTTTGCTTGTGTAAAAAGTCGGGCGGCAGAGTTTTTATAGTCTTTGAAGTTTCTGTATTTCAGAAGAGGGCAAGCCGCAAAACAGGCCATTGCAGTAATCCAGTTTAGAGGAAATAAAGGCATTAGCGACCCTTTCGGTGTCTTTCTGAGATAAGAATTTCTTGATTTTACTAAGTCCATGTAAAGATAATGGGCCGGAGCGACATATATTGTTGTTGTGGGTGCGGAGAGTGAGGGTAGAGTCAAGAGTGATGCCGAGATCTCTCGCTTCATTTACTGGTTCGATAATAGCAGTGCTGACTCTGAGGTGTGAGATGCTGTCACTGGGCGTGAAGCGAGAGTAGAAGTGGATGACTTCAGTCTTGGTTGGGTTGCATTTAAGACCGTTCTGCGTGTTCCAACAGAACATCATCAATGCAAAGTTCAAGCTGTTCTAAGGCAACACGACGATTGCTCCGCTTTATTATGATATAGAGCTGAGAATCATCAGCGTACATCATCGCATCTATGCCATGAGCTCTTATAACATCTTCGAGAGGACCATAATACAATGAAAACAATAAGGGCCCAAGTACAGAACCTGGAGGAACGCCGAAAGAGTTACATTTTGGATCGGAGTAAGTTCCATTAACTACAACACGTTGAGGTCGATTTTGAAGATATGACTTTAGCCATTCAAGGGCAAGGCCAGAAATCCCCTATTTATACTCCAATCGGTTGATTAATATTTTGTGGTCGATGGTATCGAAAGCCGCTGATATGTCCAAAAGGACTAGGACGCTTTCATGTTGATTATCAATGGCAGTATTGATATCATTAAACACTTTAAGTAGTGCTGACTCAGTGCCGTGATATCTTCGGTATGCTGATTGCATCTCAGCATAAAGTTGATGATCGGTTAGGTGACTGTCTAATTGAGCGGCAGCAATTCTGTCCAGCGTTTTTGAAAGAAATAACAAGTTGGAGATTGGGCGGAAGTTGTTGTCTTCCGGGTCCAGAACTGGTTTCTTTAAAAGCGGATAAACAATAAATTCTTTTAATTTTGATGGAAAAAGTCCTTGTTCTAAGGATGAGTTGATAATTTCCGTTATAGTTGGTAGCAGTTGATTGATGCAGCCTTTTAAAATCCAGGTTGGAACAGGATCGAGTTGACAAGATTTCGTTTTCGATGACATTATAAAGCGTTTTATCACGCTCGACGACACAGGCTGGAAGTACGACAATGGAGGCGCGGGACAAGTTTCATGATCTTCAATAGTTGATGTTGATAACGAACTAGCAGATAATTCTCGTCGAATGCTGGCGATTTTCATCTGAAAGTGTTCACTAAATCTCTCAGCAATTTCTTTGTTTGAGTCGTGTTTGGGCAAGACTGGAGCCTTTTTTACACAAAGAAATTTGTCAACAAACTTGAACAGCTGATCGTGACTTGCATCCTCAACTTTCTTCCTGAAATATTCAGTTTTAGCAGCTTCAATGTGTTTGGTGTATTCTGTGCATATCGTTTGATACATTTGTTTGTGAACTGTCAGGTTGGTATTTACGTATTTTCTCTCGAATCGCCTTTTCTCCCGTTTAAGTTCTCTTAGCTCGTCACTGAACCAAGGAGCGTGTGGCCTCAAAGTTATTTCTCTTGATTGTAATGGAGCGTGTTTGTTGAGAAGAGAGCACAGTATCTCATTGTACTGATCAATCAAGATGTCAAGATCACTTCCCGCAAGGTTATTGAGTGACGAGGTGGCGATGTCCTCACTAAATTTTTTGATGTCAACATTCCGACATTTTACGATATGTTCCACTCTTGCGGGTTGGAACAGGGCGAGGAAATCAACGTTGCAAAGCACGCGTTTGTGATCAGAGGGCAGTTCAGGAAGAACTTTCAACTCTGAAATAAGGTTATCAGCGCAGCGAGTGATGATAAGATCAAGAGTGTGTCCATCACAGGGAGTTGGGCCTTCAACTTGTTGCTGAAGACCAGTCGAATCGAGCAAATCCAGGAAGTTCCTTGCCTCGGTGTTTGTGAGATGATCTGCATGAAAGTTGAAATCGCCGGCCAGAATGAGCTTTTTGGGGCGTAGCGATAAATAAGTTAATCAAGAAATTTCGAAAACTCAGAAAAGAATTGCGATATAGTAAGCTTATTTTTCTTTGTTGCTCTTGGTCGATAAATTGTCAGCAGACGAAACTGTTTACTTCCAGATGTAATGGTCAAATCAAGGGTCTCAAGGACAAGAATACGGAAGAAATCTTTCTCTTGACTTGAAGTCCTTTGCGTGCAATAACCGCAACTCCGCCACCTCTGGTCGCTCTTGGAAGACTGTAAACATTATAATCTTGTAAGGTGTTAATCAGGTCTGTTGTGGCAAAACCATTTCCTGTGAGCCATGTTTCTGTGACAGCGCAAATATCAATGTGTTCAGATATTACTAGATCACATAACGAGAAGATTTATTCTTTATCGAACGTGCTTTCCATGGGGCAAATCGCAGTTTTAGGCTACAATTTGAACGCGCTGATTTCAGCGGGATGGAAATAATGTTGTTGACAGTTCGCATTGATGCAGTAGATGCAAATTTTCGAAAAGGTGTTACAATAGATTGTCTATTAAATGACGTTCTTGATTCTCTTGACTTAACTTTCTTCCCGCTTCTCCTGCCTCGATAACGTCGATAAGATCCAAAAGAGCAAGCACAATTTATTGGGACAACCGTTGACCATGTAAAGTGCGGATAATAAATTGGCGGTGATGGCAAACCTGGGCAAGAATTTAGCAGATTCTTGTCTTCGGTAGATATCGAGGTTGATGGATTGATCTGACTTGAAAAAGCAGAAATGTCACTGTGTACATGATTTCTCGCAGTGTTGTCAGGCCCAGGGTTGAGCTCAACATCCATATAGATTGTAATATCTTTCCCAGGCAGAAGGTAGCATAATGCCCGTGTTTAGTCCACGTGCAGATCGGTCTTGATGGAAGGCGTGCACCAGATTTAATGTTGTTGCGGGGCTGTCCAAGACTAAAAGATCTCAGTGTAGCAATCTTTGGTTGTTTAAAAACTGTGTTCGAATAACAGAGCCGGTAAAATGTAAGAACTACAGAAATAATAATAATAATAATAATAATAATAATAATAATAATAATGATAATAATAATAAAAAAAACGAGCACGAAACTTTGATGCTGCCATGTTGGGCGCATATAATTCACATTTGTATGAAATTATTAGGAGTTGGTGTTTTAATTTGACGAATCGTCGTGGGCAAGGCGTTTTCGTTGTCGTAAATTACACCATTTGTGATAAGCTGTTGCTCATTTTTATGAAATTATTGGAAGTTGGTGGTTTTATTTTATTTGGCGTCCTACGCAGTTCGTTCTTGTTTCTATAAAGTGCACCAGAGGTAATGTTATTAAAAGCTTTGTCAGCTGTTTTCATAACTTTATCTGTCGCGTTTTTTAACTTTCGAAACGATGATGAGAGGTAAAACAAGATTAAGTGGTCTGTGAATCCATCTTTCGATGGGTGAAAGTGTCCATGTACCACACTCGAACAACTTGCCTTCTGTATTTGGTGGAGATTATTTAAGGTCTCTTCGTGCCTTTTCGTGTCTCCTCCTGTTTTCACCTGGTAAGCCTGTTTGGAATTCATCATGAACAATAGCCCTTTCTCGATTACTGTATCGACAGATATTTCGAGGAAGGGATTTCAAGTGAACAAAAAGCTGTTGTGTGTAATAAAACTGTAGGGAGTAATGGAGGAACGGCGTCGAAACGACTGAAAATATGGGCAGCAGTTGTGAAATAAATGAACGGCATCCACGAGATTAAGAACGCAACCTAGATGATGCAGAAGACTTTCGCCACT